ACATCAATATGAGCTCAAATTTGGAGGGTAGCCTCTAGAGACATGTCCTATCGATGTACAAATTGTAGACTTAGAATCATAGGTCATTTGGCTTGGTTTTGAAGTATTTGAAAAATTCGTGAAAAAGGCTTTCAAGATAAGGCCTTTGAACCTTGGATTTGAGTCTAAATTGATCTAAGATCTAGATAGATCCTAAGGTCTGGATTGATCTAAGGTTTTGGATAGATCCTAGGGTTTGGATTGATCCTAGTGATCTCATATAAAAATGAGGTCAATAGGAGGTCGAAAGGACCGTAGTCGGCAGGCGACTACGGTCTGAAAGACCATTGTCTGGTGATGGAGGTCGGAAGGACCACAGTAGGCGACGAAGATCGAAAGAACCATAGTCGGCATGAGACTGGGGTCTAAAAGACAATAGTTGGGAGGAGACCATGGTCAGAAAGACCGTTGTCTGGTGATGGAGGTCGGAATGACCATAGTAGGTGATGGATGTCGGAAGAACCGTAGTAGGCAGGAGATTAGAGTCTGAAAGACCGTAGTTGGCAGGAGATCGGGGTCAGAAAGACCATTGTCTGGTGATGGAGGTCGGAAGGACCGTAGTTGGCAGGAGATTGGGGTCTGAAAGATCATTGTAGAAGGGTGATACTCCGGGAGAACTCTCAGCTTCAAGTGGTGGCCCAGCAGAAGTCCGAGTCTCATGTTATGGTCTGATAGAATTTCGGGCCTCAGGTGGTGGTCCGGCAGAACTCCGGACATCAGGTGGTGTCCTAGTGGAGCTATGGGACTCAAGTGGTGGTCCGGTAGAAGTTCGTGCCTCAGGTGGTGGCATGGTGGAGCATAGGGCCTCAAGTGGTGATCCGACAGAATTTTGGGTCTCAAGTGGTGGTCCAGCGGAGCAACGACGTCAGGCGGTGGTCCGGTCGAGGTGAGGGCCTCAAGTGGTGGTCCGTCAGAGCAACAACATCAGGCGGTGGTCCGACGGAGCAACGACGTCAGGAGGTGGTCTGGCGGAGGTGAGGGCTTCAAGCGGTGGTCTGGCGGAGCAATGTCATCAGGAGGTGGTCTGGCGGAGGTGAGGGCTTCAGGCGGTGGTCCAACGGAGCAACGATGTCAGGCGGTGGTCCAGCAGTGCAATGACGTCAGACGATGGTCCGGCGGAGGTGAGGGCCTCCAGTGGTGGTCCGGCGGAAGTCCGACGGTACGTGGTCGAGGAGGAGCTTCTTTCTTCTCTTCGTTTTCTTCTTCCTTCTTCTCTTCTTGCTCCGGTCCCCCTTCAAAATAAATGAGAGTCTATTTATAGATTTATGGAGTGGCATGGCCCATAAATAGATCAGAGATCAAGGGTAAATGGGGAGTGATTAGATGGACGGCCGATATTAAATACCTTGATTGTGGACCCTTCGTCAGACATTTGGAGGTCTTAATGATGTCAGAATTTGGCAATCTTAGGCTCGTTGGATTCGTCTCGTTGAGCCGCTCAATTCGACTATAAGCACACCATGTTTGGAAACCGTTTGGTAACCCAAATTGTGGTTCGAACCTTCCAACAGTGCTTCGGGTCCTTGATTTGGACTCATTTGGGATCGGATTTAGTCGAATTTGGTGTCGTTGAGTTCGTATTTCTGAGATGTTCAGTTCGACTATAAGTTTGATGAAATCAGAGTTTGGATGGTCCTAATTTTAATTTTGGAAGTTTCCAACTTGATTTTACATTGAGATTCATGTCCGATCAAGATAATTTTTTGATGACGTATCAATAATCATTCACTATATTATAAATATGGAGATTAAAGATAGGCTTGCAAGTTTGGATCCAATAAATCATATGAAGTTTTCTAACAATAGTGTCTCCATGAAAAAGGAAATCAGAGGATAACATGTTTTCATGCTTAATGATGGCCTTAGGATAAAATTGCACCACGAATCCAATAGGATATGATATTCCAAATAGTGAACTTCATGTAGTGCAAGCTTCCAACAAAGGATAAGCTCTTAGCTTTTCATCCTTCCAAAAGCATGGAAAGTTTACTTAGAAAAGGAAGAAAGTTAGAAATAAGTACACTTTTGATGGAGAAGGGGGCACCAAGATAGGTGAATTTGTTTTCTATATTAGTCATATTGATCAAAGAGCACATATAATTTGAGAAAGCTATAGAACTTTTAGAGAAGTAAATGCATAAGCTTGAAAAGTATCAAAATTGGCTTAGGATGTTTTTCAAAGCTTGCAAGTTATTATTAGCAGCATTCCTAAAGACAAGAATATCAACTGCATAAAACAAATGAGATATGTGAACCATTCTAATATGTAGAGGTGAGTAGCAAGTGTGATTTATAGCTTTCTTAAAAAAGTTGGAGAGACCATCCATTGCAATCCAAAAGAGGTAATAAGACATGGGGCAACCACATCTAATGCTAGAAGTGGATATGAAAAACCCTTCAAGATTGTCATTAATTAAAATTGAGACTATTGAGTAATACATATTATCAACACAAGATCTGACCCAACCAATAAAGCAAGAAGGAAACCCCTTTTGTCGCATTCTATAGATGACATAATCTTTGGAGACCATGTCAAAGGCTTTGCACAACCCATATGGCATTTGTTTCCTTTTTGAAAATCACTGAGAAGCTTTTAGCCAAAATAATATTATCAGTAAATATTCTACTTTTAGTAAAACCAACATGACTAATATTAATAATGTAAGTCAATATATTTTTGAGCTTAGACGGAAGGATTTTGACAATAATCTTATAAATTTTATTACACAAAGATATAGGTCGATAGTCATAGATGAAAGGGGCGTGAGATTTTTTGGGAATAAGTGTAATCCTTATAACCTTAGCTTCCTTGGGCAAATAGCTAGTAAGAAAAAAAAATGTTTAATAACATTGCATTGCTGACATCTAACGAGCTCCTCCCGACAAGTAGCATAAAAATTAAAATTGAACCGTTAGGCCTTAGAGCTACATTTCCAGAGGAGGAGAATACCACATGTTTAATTTCTTCATTAGAGATACAAGCCACGAGCATAAAAAAGAGATGACAATGAATAATATCTCCAACAGGTGTGAGTCGTAAGGGGAGACAAGTTTAGGAGAGTTGAATAACTCTTTAAAGTATTGATAGCTATTTCAGTAATAAATGTGGGATCAGAGAAAATCCAAAGGGAAGAAGTTATTTTCATGATGGAATTATGATTCTTTACACATTTTATTTTTCCATACAAAAAATGTAAATCATCCTCACCATGAGAAAGCTATTTGGCTTTTGCTCTTTGAATGATCCAAGATGCACGCATAGAGTAGAGTGCAATAAGAGCATCCCAACGGATTTTACATGGGCATTAAGGACATAATTGGATGGTTGATCTTAAGAAGCTCGAAGCAAGCTTATTCTAGGCCTCCAAGTCAGCAATCTTAGAGTTTACCAAATTTTTTATTTTAATAAGGGATTTAAGATGCTGGAGATTTTGGTAGAAAGAAGTAATAGGATCTCAAGGGAAGTAGTGGGAGAAAACCTGGTGGAGAACAAAATTAAAAATGGGGACTTTTAGCCCAATAAATTTTATAAATGAAATAATGATTCTTCTTGGTAGAATGTTGGATTTGGATGATAAGTGGAGAGTGATCAGAGCTTCTAGGGGATTCCATTTCAAAGAAGGAAGAGGGAAAAATATCAAGCCATATGCCATTGATCATTACTCTATCAAGTTTGATGAAGATAGGATTGTCAGCTCTATTATTAGACCAGGTATAAGTTAATCCCACTGACGTCAAGTCATTAAGACCCATGTTAAACACCATATCATTAACCTCATCAATTTTGCTATGATGTAAATGAATGCTACCAGATTTTTCATTAATATGCCTACGACAGCTAAAGTCACCAAGAACTGTCTAAGCTAGATTCACATTAGTATTAATCACCTTGAGATTACTCCATAGCTTACTCGTATTAGTTGGAGAGTTAAAAGCTATATAGCTGATATTAAAAAGGATGTATTAGAGCTAAATGAGACAAGCGACCATGAATGATTTGGCTATACATGAAAAAAGTGGTGAAAAATAAGATATATGTGTTCCATTTGATCTAAATTCTCCTTGGCTAGAATGATCAAGTAATGAAAACTTCCTTCATTGTCAAAAATCTTATAAGAATTGAAAAACCACATATTAGAGATTTGATATTAGCTAACTTTAGCTTCCAAAATACAAATGAGGTCAAATTTAAAAGTGTAAATGAGCTGCTTCCATTCTAGCCTCTCACGTCCCAAGAGACAAAGATGATTTGGGTCATTAATGTTCAGGTCCCTTCAGTCTAGCTCCTATGATCAGACTTGAGGCTTTAAGAGTTGCCAAAACTATCAAAACTTAACTCACTAATCATTTATCGAGAAGAATTTGATAGAGTGTTACAAAAGCTCGGCACTAATGACCGCACTAATTCTAATCAAACACTGTGCAAACAAAAAAGCGAAGCATTTATCACTAACGAAAGCTCCTGAAATCCGTAAAATAAATTAAATAAAAAATAAAGCTCAGCTTGATTATATTGCATTTGATTTTGATCGTGTTTTACTGATACAATTTGAATAAATTTCGAGTTTTAAGAACTTCAAAAAACAAATCAAATTGAACTACATTATTTGAATAATATATTTTGAAACATATACAAAAATTTGATAAATTTCTAATTATCAGATTTGCTTTAAAATAAATGGAATATATGATAAAACTCATATTGCACCATCTTAAAGCAAAATTGGATATCCTGACCTATAGTTTTTTTTTCTTTCTCCACCTAAAATATCAGCTGCTTGGTTCTGATTCACGCAACTCATAAAAGAACAACAAAGCTTACTACACAAGGAAATCAATACAACAATGCTGAAAATAAATCATCCTACATCTATCTAAATCATGCCAGCACCAGAACATCAATTCAATCTTAAAATCTTCATTAACTAAGCATAATGATTACTCAAGCATGCCAGAAACTATAAGGATAAAATAATAATGATAATAATAAAAGAATGTGCTGCTCTACAGGTTGAATGCTACAATCAAACATTAAAGGAAAGACATGAGATGACATCTAACTAATCCTATAGAGTCATAAGAACTTATTACCAGGTTTTATCCTGACAACTTAAAACCGACTATGGTTAACCTGTGAGTTTTTTATCTAAAAAATTGAAAACTAAAGTAAGAAAGAACACTCTGGACTGAGCAGGCATCCAAGGCTTTATAAAGAAGAAAATCTTGCATGCAACCAATGATTTACTAAGCTTCGCCAGCAACTGCATTGATGGGACCATTTGACCTCGCATCGCGGCCCCTTCCTTGACGAATTTGCCGTCGGCCACCTCCTCGACCTATAAAATCAAGTGCTTATAATATAATAGTCCTAAATTTTATGCATAAATATGTTGCAATTTTGCTCGGAAGCTTTTTTTCACAACACTGCATTCCAGACAGTTAAATATTTAACTACAGCATCTGTGCTGCTTTCTAAAAATTTTTGCAATGGAAACAGTTTTTAAGGACAAAAGTTGCTAGTGTTGGCCATAAAAAGTAGTTCAAATTTTTCAGAAAAAAAAAACCCTATTATCTATAATGACTTTTAAAAAATAAAATTTTCCTACAATAATCTTTTTAACTACTCTTATAAACGACCAAGGTGGTCCCAAACAGATCCTCAGATCAGTGAAACTATTTGAGGTGATGACAAGAATTTCATGCCATTGATGCTTTGAATATGTATTAGAACAGAGAGGATAGTTCATTTATAAGCTATAATACCTCGGCCCTGAACGGGAGCATGAGTAGCATCCTCAATGTAGACAGCATTGTCTTGCTGATAATTGGAACGACCACCGTAGCCTCCTCCTCTGCCCCAACCTCTGAAACCACGGCCTCTACCACGTCCCCAACCTCCCCTGCCAAATCCACGCTCTCTATTGTCCCAATTCCGTTCACCATAATCTACCATCATAGGTCCATTTTCTAGAAGAGACATCAAAATGCACCTCATAAGATATGCTGAATGTAATGAGACTAAGGTTTCAATTGGGACAATTTTCATATTGCTTTATTAAAAAGAGTTTTATTAAAATAAAATTTGAAAAAAAAAATTGTATTAAAACTCTATTTTATAAAGCAGTAAGAAAGCTGTCCCAAATGAAGCCTAAGAAGCTATATAGACCATTAAATACAAACCTCTTCCCCTTCCTCTACCATGACCAACACGGCCTCTTCCTCGACCAGCAGGAGAAACCTCTGAGGTGGGAAAAGATGGAATAAAGATAAAATGGCCAGAAGAAAAAACAATTGACAAGAAAAAAAAAATTAAAAAACTGATCACTTTAGATTTACCTCCCTCATAATCATATTCAGCAGATGGTTTCACCTGATCTGCCGGTAAAGGAGATTGATATCTACAAGAAAATGTGTGATCAGCATTCATGATTCATGATATAAATTAAGAAAACTGAACGGTGGAAAAAATGCAAGTTCAAAATACTTAACATCAATCACATAAATTTAACGGATGCTACTTTGTAGCAGAAGACTAAACACAGAGATATTGTGACTTAAGAGAATATAACACTAACATTCATAATTCAAAAAGTAAAATCGAAAGTGTAAACCAAAAGTATAAAATAAAAAGTAAAGATGGTACCACCTAAAATAATAAACAAAACTCCGTGCTACCACTTTTTAAGGATTAACAACTACTCAGACAAGGATTATTAAGCATCACTTAAGCTTTAGGGTAATATGGATTCAAATATTCAGCTAATGTCAGCAAATTAAATGCAGATAAGCTATTAAACCTTTATAAAGGCACTTCTCCGACGCCACGTGTATGAATTGATTAACAAAAAAGGAATTTCTTGTGTAACATCAGAAATTTGCCAACCTGCAATTTTTTAACTAAATCGCAGTCGCTTACACTAATATTGTCCAAATTTCAAAGAGCATAACAAAACTACAATCCATTTTTTCACATTCACTAAATTCTCCATAATTTGATCGTGACATGCCACATTTATGACTTTGACTTTCTTTTTTTTTTTCCTTTTTTATTATTAGTTTCATAAATTCCCCGCCCGTATATATAAGGTTGCTTCCTTTTTTTGCACGAATCAACATATTTTCCATTTTAAATGGACTGCTAATGAAGCATGCAATTGCTTAGCTAAAAGCAGCAGCCCCATTCTTACTACAGTATATTTCTAAGAACAGCATGAACCAAAACTCCGAACACAGCAATTTCTCCCTTCTGAGTAAATTTCACCAGTTCTCAATCACAGTTTTCAAAAAAGCTGTCCAAAGTGTAAGATTAGATAAAGAAAACTACATGAAATTAGGTAGCAAATTGCATAAACCAGATGTACCGATCAAATAGAATATAAACCAGGCCATATTCTAATCAACAAGTTAAGATATAGGTACCAAGCATGATTGGCATGAGAATATGCACTATTACTGCAGCAAGCCAAAAATTCAATAGAACAAGCACAGGCAACATTTACATGTCCATGAAAAATGGTCTATGAAGGAATTTAGCAAACAATATCATGCATCTAAAAGTAATATGCAAGCAGAAACAGAAAAAGTGGACTATCATTCAACATACTGCTGTGGATGAGCTATATAACTTTCAAGAAAAGATCTTCCTGATGAGTTTTATTCCCTTAAGAAAGTGTCTGAGAAGATATGTACCAATAGCATGACAAATCAAGACAAAATGCCTAGTGGATGAATGTAAGAAAATTTTATTACCCAGCAGATAACTTATCCAGCTCCATTTTAGAGAGGGTTATGCTGATCATTGATACATGCCTTGTCGTTTCAAGTCTGAACAAGAAAAATCAGCGATTAAACAAGAAAATATGTAATCATAAAAATAAGACCTTGGGCAAACCCAAGCAGACCATATAATATGTACGCAAAATTCTACTTTTTTGCATTAGATCAAAATTATTCTTACGGAAGTAAGCCTTCTTCTAATGGCTCCCATGTATCAGTTATGTCTAAAGACCCGACTGCAGTATTTTGATGAAGACCAGCGACTCTTCTCTGCATTGTCAGAGCAAGGCAATGATAAAAATGAAATCTTTTACCAAAATTCACTAGAAGAATTTCATACGAGATACAGTTCTTGAAATGCATAATAATTTAAGAAATTACCTTAATTAGCTCCACAATCACAACAGTCTTATTAATAGCTCTCCCCATTGCCTTGAAAACAATTTCATTTGACTCTTTTTCCTAAAATGCAAATGTAGTAAAAGCGTAAAAAAAAAATAAAACAAACCAAGAACAATCATCCTTACTCTAGTTGAAGGCAGATCAAAACAACCACAAGAAAGAGCTAGTTTGTTTACAATTTTTAGAAACTTTTCAAACAATAGACAGGATGCTCATCTCAATGGCCCAAAGAAACAGCCAATCCATTCACAATTTATGTGATCTCCTTCATTAGATATAACAGAGTACCAAAAGATCACGAAATCATTTCAGTTGATAAAAACAATCCCGAATTTAACAATTCCATATTCAAGTAGTTCTGATGCGAGCACACAACAAGTGGAAAAGCGATGAACAAAAAAAAAAGATTGTTTAAAGCATAACATCACAGAAGTATGTAACCCAGCATATGAAATTGCCAAGCTCCTGCAAATGCTACGCATGGATAGGGTTGGAAATTCTTGAAGCAAAATAAGCCAAATCAATAGCTATAATGACACAAGGAATATAAGAATTAGGTGTGATAATTACGTTAAAATTCTTTACTTTGTACGGTGGGTAATCATAATAAGGAAGCCAAAAATGCGTACTGACATGCTGGAGCAAAAATTTGCAGAGAAAAAAAAAAGCTTTTTCATAAGCTAGCTGACGCTTAAATTCACATCAAAATACATAAAAGAAAATTACAGTTAGTAAAATGTGCGTTTCAATGTCAACACTTGAGCGCACTAAACCATTAATTTTGATTCTACCCATTCAACACTTATAATCAATTAGCACTCACTTCCTGTCATTATTCTTTTCCAACTCACATGAACTTGCAGCTATAAAACTCCCGCAACATGTACGTAAAATCCATCAAACATCCCCAAACATGCATGTAAAATGTAACAGTCAAGCTGCTGCAATAAGGCATGACAATTGTTGGAAAGATATGCAAAAGCAATAACAAAACTATACAAGTGATTCCATACACATAAATACAAAAAGTGCTCAAAGTCCATAAAATCCATAACAAAACTAGTAACCTCAATTTTCAAAATTTCCCTTACATGTTCACTGAAAGGCGTAGTGAAACACAAACAAACTTTGAATCCATTACGTGTTCAATTGTTTGAATTAGTCCCCCATATAACACAATGAAGGAAATCTTACATAAGCAAAGTATCTTTCTCAAAAATGCCAGAATAATTCGATGTCAAAAAAAAAAAAAAACACTTCAAAATTTCGGAAAATGCATTAGTGATATAAATAGCTAATTCCAGAAATTAAGGCTTTCAGTAATCTCTTAAGCTATGCAAAAATTTGATTTCCCCAACGATATACATGTAATAGAATATAACAACATCAAGCCTTTATCCCACTACATGGGGTCAACTACATGAATCCTTTTCTCCATTGTCAAGTTAAGAGTCGAATTCTCATTTAAATTTAATAAAGAAAATATCATTTCTAATATTTTTTAACCAAGTCTTTTTAGGTCTACCTCTATCACTCTTAAAATAGGCTAAATCTAATACATCTACTCTCCTAATTGGGTCATCAAAAGGCCAACGTTTTATATGAACAAACCATCTAAGGTGACTCTATCTAATCTTATCCGTCATTGGAGCTACTCCAAACTTTTCATGTATATGATTGTTTCACATGCCATCTCTAAGAGTAAAGCCACTCATCCACCTGAGCATCCTCAACTCTGCAACACTTGACATGTAACAGAATAATGATCAATTATTTTAATTTATTAGGTTGGTTAGAAGGTATTATAAATGAACATTTTTTATTAGATTTAAATGATAATTTGTCTCTTAATTGGAAACAATAGAGAAAAAAATATTCTTGTAGACGACCCCACATAGTGGATAAAGGCTTGATGTTGATGTTGTTGTATTTTAATTTGTTAGCTTCCTTTTTTGTTTTATAACCTCATAGGTATTTATTTTGTTTTTAACTGAAATTTCCCACGAACATTTGAAATTGGGAAACCTCCCTTTTATAACCTTAAACAATTATACATATTTAGAAATTAGAATATCTCAATGAAAAAAATCGTGTCATTACTCAAACCTCCTACATGGTATCAAAACCTTGATCCAAGCCCCTTCTTTAGTCTCTCTTTTTTTCTCACCCCTTTTCTCGGTTCCAATATTTCCCCTTTCCTAACCTTCAATACAATTGTTATCAACAAGGACCACACCATAAATCAATTGTCAAAACTGAGTGTCTTACAAAACCATGAAAAGCATCTACCACTTTAGATCCACGAGCACACCATCGTCCGATGCTCCTTTGAACAATCTATTGACACCTTCATCTCCAAATGCATGTTTCTCAATGTCATACACGCACTGCTCCCAACAACACCAACGCTTTGCCATTTACTCAAATTAACAACCATAATATGTTATAGCCAACTTGTTCACACCCACCTCCTCATCCCTATGTTAGTTATTATCAAACATAAAGCATTTCGAGTGACACAATCAATCAATGTCCCGCTTATTAACTAGCTCTCTCAAAATCTACCACCAGCTAATGTTTAGCAGCATATCACTCTCAGATGTCTCATCCACTTAAACCAAGGTAGCCATAGGCCTACTAAATTAACAAGAACACTCGGGTTACTCCCACTTGGATGCTTGACAAGGGTGCTTCTCACCACATTACCGGTAACTTGAGAAATTTCTCACGTTATATCCCACATGATAGTCCTCATGATGCTATGCTTGGAGATGGCATGGGCATACCTACAACCTACACCATTTCCACCTATCTACCCCCTAACTCTCACAATTATCTCTTAAATAATGTTCTTAGGGTACCTAGCATGAAATATATATATATATATCAACTTTGTCATTCTAACAATATATCTATCGAGTTCTTACCAATTTTTTTATAGGAAAGATCAAAGCATAAGGTTATTCTTTTGACATGCAAACTAAAGTTGATATAGATGAGTGTCCAGCCCCTTTCACTCGAATCTCCTCCACTTGTTGCTTTTTCTAGTGTTAACACCACTTGGTCCAAGTGACATCATTTATTAGGCCATTTTTTTCATTTTCATTTCTCAAGAACATTGTCTGCCAATTCAACTAAGATCCATCTTCTCCACATTCATCAACTCTCCATTGTAATGCAAGAGCACGATAGTCCTCATAAACTTTCACTTTCAAGATCCACTATTACCTCCTCGCAACTTCTTTAAATAGTGTTCTCATTTGTTTGAAACTCACTTGTACTACCCCATGATGGTTTTAAATACTATGCTATTTTTTGTAGATTATTATACCAAATATTTCTATTACTATATGCTTAGGAAAAAAAAACTCATGTTTATGATGTCTTCCATCAATGTTGAAGCCTTGTGGAAAAATAATTTGATCACAAAATCATCAGTGTGTACCCTAACAATGGTGGTGAGTAGGAGGGTCAGTGAGCCGAGTCGACTCATGAGCAAGCTTGAACTTGACTCGCCAACAAGCTCACAGTCAAGCTTATCGAGCATTGAGCTTGAGCTCTCATATTAAACGAGCTCGAGTTTAATGAGACTCGGTTCTTCGACTCATGAGCTTGCTTGATTAGGTAAATATTTAGGGGGAAAAATCAACTTATTTATTAATTTATATTATTTAAAAGTAAATTCACTTCATCTGCATTTAAAAACTTGTAGAAAGTTGTAGTATTCTAAAAGAGTTTACTGAAAAAGTTTATTGCATTTAATTTCATTAATGCATCGGCTACTTTTACTACAAAACAAAATCTATCTTCTTCTCTGCATCGTTGCCGTTGTTGTTACTTCTCCAAGAAAAAAATGTTTATTTTACAACGCTTCTTCTCCAACAAGCAAATGAGATTTCAACCGAACTCCCGCAATGATTTTGCCAGTTCTCCCCTCATGCTTCTTGTGTGAACTCCCAAAGCTCGAGTCGAGCCCTTGAGCCGAGGAGTTGGAGGACTAGCCGAGTTTGAGTTCATTTTCCAGGCTCGACTCCAGCTCGAGCTCGAGTCGGTTTTCTAAACGATGAGCCGAGAGTGAATTTATTGTGACTCGGGCACAACTTGACTTGTTTACACTCCTAGTGATGAGCATCAAGTTATTCAAACATTCCCATCCACTAATGATACCTCTCATCTCACTAGCCCATGACACACTTGAATATAAAGTATACTAAAAAATATCATCATATTATTGCAAATTCACTTTGTCTCTCTAGCTCTCTCCCTCCTTCCCTCCCTGACCTCATAAATTTTATGCTCACTCCCACTTTACATCTCTTGTCCATAAAAGCATCTTTTTGGCTTGACTACAAAGCATTCTAAAATTCATGTATTAAGTTGTATACCACAAATAAACTTGTTTTTCACTCCAAGCCTGATGTCTTCCTTGGCTACTACCTCACTGAAAATACTTATCTTTGTCTTGACACCACCACATCAATAATTTGTCACTTATCGTGTACAATTTGTTGTGTCTATGTTTCCCTTCGCATACTCTTTCCTGTCTCGTCACTCGTGACACCCCTAAAGTATCAATCTCCTTGCTGTGTCCTCTTACCAAGTAACTTATCATTCCTTCAAAACTTCTTTCATGGACACCATCCACAACATTACCCTATGCAACGCCACTTTATTCAGCCTCAACACCAAATAAACCACACCAAAAACCCTCCTCCCTCTATGGTAAACTTGGGAACTCCTCCACAACAACACAAAAAACACTCGCCCAATGACAACTCAAGCCAAACAAATGCCATTCAAACACCTAACATAAATCCACCATCATAAACGAAGCATTCAAAGATCAGAATAACATTGGACAATGTCAATTGAATATGATGATCTTGCTTGAAATGGAAAATGGGAGCTTATTCCCCTCACCTCCATTGAAACTTAATTGAGTATCAGTGATTTTCAGATCAAACAAAACTATACTAGCTCAATAGACAGGTGCAAAAATCTACTAGTGGCTAAGGGTTTTCACCAATGACCGATAGTTTCCTATCATGACACCTTGAGTCATGTTATCAAACTTACAATAGTATGATTGGTTCTTAGCATAATTGTTAGTCGACAATGGTCTTTAAGTCACCTCAATGTCAACAATGTCTTTCCGAAAGGACTTTTCTCCGAGGATTACTTCATGGCCCAACCCCCATGCTTATAGACATAAATCATCCTACACATGCATGTGAGCTTCACAAAATCAACAGTATTGGAACCATGAGCTACGATAAATTATAATTACTTTTAGTTTCATTAACTCTTTGAATGATTCATCTCTCTTTATCATCAACAGTATTGAACTTAAATGTCTTCAAGTTTATATCAATGCATCATTATCAAAGGTAACTTTGACATTGTCATACAACATATCACTCCTTGTCCAATGATTCTCTATCAAGGATCTTGGGTCATTGCACTATTTTCTTGGCGCAGATGTTGTTTTGCACCCATCCTATCCTAGTATTGATACAACCTTTATCTTCTTGCTCACACAAAGATGCTGGATGCCACTCTTGTGATGACAAATTTTATTATCTCACCAATGTTTACTCTTCACTTTGGCACTTATCCGACTAATTAGATGTTCCGAACAATCCAAAGTAATTAGCTTGTACGCAGCCATATATAGCTCACAGTTAATACATTGTTTCAATTTATGCATTGTCACACCACTACTCATTGGACTGATGCAAAATGACTATCATGCTTTTGATATGTCACGCAGCATTCTTCTTTATCATGACTCACAACTTCAACTTCATGCATTCTCTGATGTTGATTGGGTATGTCACAAAAGATGATTTCACCCTTACAAGTGCCCACATCACGTATCTTGGTAGGAATTCCATCTCTTGGAGTTTCAAGAAACAATCATACCCCACTCCTCTATCAAGGTTAAGTACCACACTATCTTAACCACCACTATTTATCTTCCTTCGATTTATTCCCTATACACCAAACTTGGCATCCTCATTCCTCAAACCCCCGTGATCTAAAGAGTATGGTTGCCACTCATCTCTTTTTGAATCAAGGCTTTCACTGATGGATAAATCATTTAAGGAACAAGTACAAAATAGCAAATTTTGTCTATTCCTTGTATAGTGTAATTATCCACTCGTTGATGCTCACACCAAACCATTTCAACGCACCTGCTTCTCTATATTGAACATCATTAATATTGTACTTTTTTATTGGAGCTCCATTTTGACGATGTATGTAATTGAATAAATGTAAAAGAGCAAATAAACAATTATTTTAATTCACTATTTTGTTATTTTTTTAGTCTATTATGCATTCATTTTGTTTCATATTGGAGTTTCGTGATAACATTTTAAATTGGGAAACCTTCATTTTTCAACCTTGTATACTTCTATATATTCAAAATATCTCAATGAAAGAATCCTGTCATTACTCAAACTACCTATTATAAGTAAGCTTTTAGAAAACCAAGATTGCTATCTCAAATGTCGTAAGCAATCATGAAAGCGAGAATGCCAAACTGAAGCAAAGTGACAAAATAAAAGAACCAGCATAATGAAAAATTTTCATTTATTAAAGAAGTTTCTATCTAAGTGCGCTGGTAAGAGGAGAAATAGACATAGTTTCACATATAAGCAGTATCATTTCCTGCCATATCGAAGTTTTCCAAATCAGAATGACGTTAAAGAAAACTTCACGACAAAGCAAAGTAATCAGCCTAAAAAAATTAACAGATTTACTAGAAGTACACGATATAAAACTGGAAACTAACCAGCATAAGAACAAATAATGGATATATATACATATTATTTATATATACCTGAAGCAGGCTAGTGGCATAAGTGATGTAGCTGCGCATCCTTCCCTGAGTTGTTATGCGGATCTCATTATCGTTAATAGGTGTTTCCTCCCTGGGTTTTTCCACCCTCCGGTACCGATCCATCTTTTCGTCCCGAGACCAAAAGCAGAATTGAGAAATTTTTAAAACGAAATCAACGCAGAAACTCAAATCCAAAAACATATCTACCGCCTATCCTTCCTCAGTCCATCCAATATCTCGCACAAAAGACACACACACACAAAAATTGTTCCACGCGAAGACAGAGAAAAAAACGCCTAATTCCTAGCTTCCTCAGCCCAAGAAACCTCCCAAGCACAGCAATTATCCATCAAGGTAAGCAAAAACAAAGAGAAATCACTGTGCCATAAATCGAAAGCAAACAGATCTTAACAAAAATCAAATCTCACAACCCATGACGCCAATCGAAGAAGAGCCCTGACGAGAGAAAGACAAACCCGGAATCCAAAAATAATAATAATGAAAAAAAAAAAGAACACCGTCGAAACCAAAGAACAAGCTAATTAGAAGATTTGGTTTCTTGGAATGAGAACAACGACGATTGAAGAAAAGGCAAAACAGAGACTCCATCCTAGCATTTCATACCTCGATCTGCTCTGTTCTCCTTTTTCCGCCCTTAATCCACTTCCCGCAACTTATCCGCTATGTCGCTATATATAAACCCGCGCCGAAGGGAACTGCTCTCTAGGGTTCGTTAACCAGAAAACGCCCTAGATTAAATTACGGAAATGACGTGGCAATAAACGACCACCGTACGATCGTGATTTTCCAACGATATCCGTTGCGCGACGCACGTGATAGCCCAATTTTAGGCTTCTGTTTACGTTTTCAGGTGTTGACAGTCTTTTGAGGAAATTTGTATATTATTTTATAAAATTCCTTAATTTCATTTTCCTTGGCTTTTGAATTTTAACAGATTATTCACTTTATCTTAATCTAATTTAGACTTTCAATAAAAAAGATTTTAAATTTTAACTTTTATATATTTGAAAAAAAAAAATCAACAAATTAAACTTATACATATCCTAACAATGTATTTATTTTTTTTGTTTTTAAGCTTGATTTAAAATTGTTACAATCTAACTCATTTTTTTTTTATTATAAACTGAGTTAAACATAATATTGCTAAACTAAAATTAGGGCCTAAGAGTAAAACCATTTAAAATTTTATTTGGGATAGTTTTCTTATTATTTTCTACAACAATTTTTTAGTAAATTTTTTTTTAATTGTGAAAACGTAATGACAAAAAATTATTCTGAACGAACGAAGCTTAAATTTATGTAACTCAAAATATACTAGAAATCTTGAACATTAATTTTCTACATGAGGAATAAAATGACACGTTGATATTGTTAGTCATGTTGGCTTCAATTAGTATATGATGATGCTTAAAAGCTTAATCATTCATAACTTATAATGAGTACTCATAACTTATTATTAGCATAAATTTAATTGTTCATCTAAATAAAGTTTGTCAGCCTCTAATAGAAATGCTAACTCCATATTTTCATTTGTCCGCTTAAAGTGGGTGGCTTGGGAAACTAAACAATTTCTCATACATGATAGAACAAGTAATAGCTTATTGATATTCTCATCCTTCTAAGAATCATTACCCTAAACCCTAAACAAGATTCAAGCACATTTCTATCTTCATAAACACAAATTAATATGCATAACTAGCATTAGAATATAAACCCTAAAACTAGCAATCTACCCATTATCCTTCTCAGCAAAATAATGTATTCATGTAAAACGTGGGTGAGAGCTTAAAACCAACAATGATATTTAATACACCAAAGATAAAAGCAATATGTATGTCACTATAACATCATCTGAATAATAAAACGTGGATACCTCAATATGTTGTGTAATGCTTAGTAAGTATAGTGTAAGTACAAAAAGTAATGTTAATGACTTAATTTTAATTATAATACGAATGTGTCATAAGCAATAATATATGTTTTTCTTTTGACATGAAATCATAAAAACATTTACATAACTAAAAAAATAATGTTGTAATTTTTATTTTAAAACTTTTTTTTTTCCCCCTCTGACCTATGTATTCACTTTCAATTATTCATCAACTTGTTCGTATTTTTCTTATAATGACCTAAAATTTATGTAAATAATTTAAAATGAAAATATAGAAAATATGAGCTGGAGTATTGCGGCACTTTGTTTGAGAGTGCAACGACGCCATGAAGCGTTTATTACAATTGATGCATTAGTAAATATCACTTTATGAGCATATCAACTCATCAAAATTAATGGTATAAAAAATTTATGCTAGCTGATATGCTTATAAAGTGATATTTACTTAAAAATAGTGGGGCTGAATTAAAATTTGTGAATGATGACATAGATGTCACACATATTAGATATATTTAAACACAATTAGTAAGCTACTATACGTTGGAAATCCATACTCTATGTGGTAGATTATTAACTATAGAGTAAAAATTTTAGTAAATTTATTGGATAGAGCTTGGCCTTAATTAATTTCTCTAGATTAACGGCTATCAACTGAAGATTCACTCATGCTTGATTTTTAAATATGGTGGTAAACTAAGGCTTCATTTGGGACAGTTTTTTTTTTTTTTTTTTTTTTTTTTTTTTTTTTTTTTTTTTTTTTTGCTTCTTAAAGCAACTTTTTAGTTAAAAAATTAATTTTTTTATACTAGAAAGCTGCTTTAAGAAGCAACACAAAATTCATTTCAAATGAAGCCTAAGTTAAGAATAGTTCTTATATGTATATATATGATTATCAAAATCAAACACCATCAAATTTAAATTTGTTATTTGACATATTTAAGTATTACATAAAGAGATACTTGTATTGTGTTAAGGTATCACACAATCACAATCAAATTAACAAAAAAAAAAAAAAAAAAATTTGGAGGAAATGAGAAGGGAAGAAAAGAAGAAGCTCTCGCAACAAAAAAGATAGAAGACAGGAAGAATTAAGATCATCGCTCACTTAAAAAATAAAAATAAAAAAAAATAATAAAAAAAAAAGACCATCGCTCACTTTCACATGCAACTTGTGCTTTTGTTTTTTTTCTAATCGTCAACATTGACAAAGTGATATACTGATATATTCGTTTTTTTATTGGATGAAGTGTAATTTTACTGTGCATCTCTTTGAAATTTAGTAAAATATTTAATCTCTATGCAATCACAAACATAGGAGAATCTCATCAAAATGTGTAAATTTTTGTATTGAATTTGAGAAATTTTATGTGATTAAAATATATATTTATATAATTTATTTAACAATTTGTCACTTTTCTAACAAAAAAAAGTAAAAAAAAATAGTAATCTTTGTAAGCGACCGGAGAAAGATAGGAAGAGCAGTAAAGAAATCAGAGATATTAAAGGAAATTCTATATTATTCAATGAATAATTGGTACAAGGCAGAGATATATATAGAGATATAATGAGCTAAATTACATAAAGAACCTATGATAGTTGACGTGTTAAGTCTCTTGATAGCCCCCCTCAAATTGATTGTTCACCGGGTGAACAGTCAGTTTGTTACATAGCTCTTTAAACTGAGCGGTGGCAAGAGGCTTGTTAAGTATGTCAACGATTTGGTCATAGGAGCTAATGTGCTCGATGGTGAGAGATTTGGAGTCTATGTGTTGCCGAATGAAGTGATAGTCGATTTCGATGTGCTTTGTCCTGGCGTGAAAAACATGATTATTAGCTAGAGCTATTACGGAAGTATTGTCACAATAAATCGTTGTAGGAGTTGTTTGAGGAATCTGAAGCTCTTCAACCAAGCGACGTAGCCATAGAACGTCAGAGGTGGCCGCTGATAAAGAACGATATTTGGCTTCAGCTGAGGACTTGGCCACGGTTGCCGGCCTGTTTCTTGACGGACCACAAGATTAAATTGTTTCCAAGAAAGGTGCAGAATCCTGAAGTTGATTTGCGGTCTAGGTGGTCTGATGCCCAATCGGCATCCGCATATGTCCGGAGATGAAGTTTGCCGAGGGATATCGGTAGACCGTAATTCAATGAGCCTTTGATATATCTGAGTACGCCCTTGAGGCCTTGAAAGTGACTTATAGTTGGTGTGTGCATATGTTGACAGATGCGATTGGTGGCGTACGCAATGTCCGGTCGAGTGATGGATAGATACTGGAGAGAGCCAGCTAAGCGGCGATATAAGCCTAGATCCGAAAAAGGCTCGTTGTCTATTGCCATGGAGAGAGTTTTTGGAGAAATCGGTGTGGGAGCTGGACGACAATTAGCAAGGCCTGAGTCCTATATAAGTTGTGTAGCATAGTGACTTTGATGGAGGAAGTAGCCGGAGTTGGTTTTGAACACTTGGATGCCAAGGTAGAGAGACACATTGCCAAGTTGCTTGCGAGCAAAGTGAGATTGGAGGTGCTGTAGAAGATTTTGTATGGTTGTTTAATCATTACCTGTGAGTAGAATTATCGTTGACTTTAATCAGAAAGTATAGTTGAATGTTGTTGCAATGAAGAATAAGGAGGGAGGGGTCAGAACGACTAAACCTGAACCCGAATTGTTGAAGTAGCTAGGTGAGTTTGTGAAACCATTGGCGAGGAGTTTGCTTGAGTCCATATAGGGATTTGTGGAGTTTGCAGACGTATTCTGGTTGATGATTGTCGATAAAACCAGGAGGCTGTCGAATGAAGACTGTTTCGTTGAGGTCACCATGAAGAAAAGCACTGGATATGTCTAACTGAAGGATGGACCATTGTCGGTGGAATTCTAGAGTGAGAAGGATCCGAATGGTTGGCATTTTTGCAACGGGACTGAACGTTTCTTGGTAGTTGACGCCGAGAGTTTGATTAAAACCTTGAGCTACCAAACGAGCTTTGTATTTGTCTACTTCGCCGGTAGGTAGGAGTTTGGTTTTGAACGTCTATTTACATCCTAGAACTGGATCGTTAGCTGGCGGAGGAATGGGAGACCACGAACCTTATTATTGAAGGGCTAGAAATTCATTTGTCATAGCATTGCACTAATGAGGAATTTTTTAGGCTTGAGTGTAGGATGTGGGAGTATTGGAGGATGAGAGAGTAGCCGAGAGATCGAATATTTGCCAAGGCTTGTAAATTCCTGATTTGGCATAAGTTAATATTGGATGAGTTGGATGGACAAGTTCAGGTTCGCTGGCTGAAGCAGTGGAGGCAGATGGAGAGTTGATATTAGGATTGCCCCGAGAAGAAGTCCTTCGCATGGGAACGGGACGAGGAGGCTTGTGGATCAGTAGGAGAAACAGAGGATTGAGTGTTGCGAGAAATGGATGTCGGAGTGAGAAGGAAAGGAGAGATTGTTGAGTTGGTAGCCGTAGAGGGTGAGGGGGAAGGGGTGATGGAGTTTTTATAGGGAAATATTTATTCATGGAATATGACATGTCGTGATATTTGAATTTTATTTGTGAGAATGTTAAGACATATGTAGCCTTTGTGATGAGCAAAATAGCTAAGAAAGATGCAGGGTAGTGATCGCGGAGCGAGTTTATTATTGGTGTATGGTTTGAGACACGGAAAGCAGAGGCAACCAAAGGTACGAAGATGGTCGTAGGAGGGAGAAGTGTCGTGCAGACGGTGATACGAAATTTGTTGATTTAGTGCTTTTGAGGGTAATCGATTGATCAGATAATTTACGGTGGAGACTGCTTTGACCCAGAATTTAATAGGAAGATTGGAGGCGTATATGAGGGTACGCATGAGCTCGATTAGGTGTATGTGTTTCCGTTCAGCCGTTCTGTTTTGTTCGAGAGTATGTGAACAACTGATTTGATGGGAAATGACGTGAGATGATAGAAAGGATTTGAATTGAGTGCTGGTGAATTCGCCGCCGCCATCAGATCGAAAGAATTTTGGCGTAGTGTTAAATTGTGTTTTTATAAGAGACAAGAAATTACTGAATTTAGAGAACGTTTCACTTTTAGATTGCATCAGATATAGCCACGTAAATTTTGAAAAATCATCAACAAAAATTACATAGTAATTGAACCCATTCAAGGATTGTTGGGGAGCGGGGCCCCAAACATCAAAATGAACCATGTAAAAGGCATGCGGGGATGTAGAATTACTTTTATTGAAAGGAAGTTTATGGCTTTTGGCCATGCTACAAGAGGTACAGAGAATTTTTGTTGGAACAAAATCAAGATGAGGAAGAGCTGGACGAAGTTGTGCTAGCTAGAATGCCTTGATGCGGGTGACCGAATCTTGTGTGCCAAAGATGAGCGTGCGACGTAGTTGCAAGAAGAGATTGCTGGCGGTCCAGCGAAGGAGAATGAAGATGGTACAATCCGTTACGCATTTGACCATGAAGAAGTGGTCAATTGTCCTGGGCATCCTTAATAACAAAGCCATTAGAATTAAAACATATGGAAACCTGATTATCAGATGTTAGCTTTGAGATAGAAAAAAGAGTTTGCGTTAGAGAGTGAACATGAAGTAAATTTTGTAGATGGATCTTACAAGCCGAATCGGGGAGAGGGAGGATTCCTTGACCGGAGTTGTGAATCGACCGAGAGGAGCCATTCGCAATCGAGATTGTGTCTGAATAGGGCGTGCTGCGTTGAAGATTTGTGATATCCGAAGTGAGGTGCGTAGACGCCTCGGAATCAAGAATCCAGTCCGTCGTGGGGGATGATGCCTGCTGAGAGAGAAGAGCTTGTGGGTAGGACATCGGTTATGTGATATTTGAGATTGCACTGGTGCAAGAAATTTAAGGCGATGTGACTTGTCTTTCCGCAAATATGGCAGGTGGGACGGTCTGTAGAGGTGGAAGCTAAGGGCGGTCAGGCAATTTGATTTGTCCGGTTAGCAGAATTACGATTCTTGAAGAATTTGTTTGATCCTTTCCCGCGAGCAGAGGAGGATCTATTCGTGCAGAGAACGGTACTGCCTTGTGCAGCAGAGGAGTCTTTTTGTAATTATTGATGGAGATTGATCTCCTCACTGATCAGAAGAGAATAAAGTGTATCAAGATCAATAGGTTGGAGAGATGTTCGAATGGTGGTTTTGAACGAATTGTAGGAGGAAGGTAATCCGTTCAGAATGTAGAGAATGATATCCTCGGTGTCAAGTTTTGACCCCGAGGTGGCAATAAAATCAACAAGATTTTTTATTTGCATAAGGTATTGTTGCATGGAGGAGTCCCTCATTTGAATGTTGTGGAGTTCGTTCTTGAGTTGAATGACTTGAGAACGATTTAAGGGTTGCATCCGTCGTTCAATAACTGTCCAAACATCATGAGCTATGGTGGAGGATAGAACATAAGGGAGAATGCGGGTGAGATGGTGGAGAACAAAGCGGATATTAGGTTCCGGTCTATCAAGCACTAGTTGTGATACTCTGTGCTTGCGGGATCTTGCGGGCGAGGAATGTCGCCGGAGAGGAAGCCGTCGAAGCCGTTGGCGGTGAAGTGTTGCAGGAGTTGAATCCGCCAGATTAGGTAGTTGTCCGAAGAGAGAGGGTTGGGAACAAGATTATTAAGATTTGAGATGAGGAACTTTAGTGGTGCCGAAACAGTGAAGTTGGAGAGGCTGTCGGAGACGGTGGAGAAGGAGGAAGGCTGAGAGACCGTGGAATCTCTTGATTCTTGATCAGCCATGAGGAGTCTCTAGCTCTAATACCATGTAAGCGACCGGAGAAAGATAGGAAGAGCAGTAAAGAAACCAGAGAGATTAAAGGAAATTCTATATTATTGAATGAATAGCTGGTATAAGGCAGAGATATATATAGAGATATAATGAGCTAAATTACATAAAGAACCTATGATAGCTGACATGTTAAGTCTCTTGATAATCTTCTCACATTAAGGACAATGCAAGAAATAAAAATATAGCCAAAAAACATGCAAGAGGCCAGTGAAAGACTGGATGAACTTGACATTTATTTGGATTTTGTAGATACGACTCAATAAATTATGATGATTTCCAATTTGAAGAAGAGTTACCAATATTAATTAAAATATTGTTCTCACAGGCTAAACACAACACAACTTATCTTGGTCCGTTTGTTGGGAGCTTTGACTATCAATTAAGAGGTTGGTATTGGGTTCGAGTTTTACGTATATGATATGAGTATGTTTACCTTAATTGGCCTAAATGCCTTAAAAAAATGCTAGACACTCATTATGCACGTGGGCTAATTCATACAGTCAAGATTTAGTTGATCTAATACTAATGATAATATAAACTAATAAAAAGATGGGAGATAATGTCAATGTTTGATAACGAATAAATTCTAAAATGCTATAAATATTTTATGAATATTTTACTCTTAAAGATGACTCATGAAGAATCAATAATGGAAAGATAATATAAAGGTCTATAACTTAATTTTTGTATTTAGGGCATTATTCTTAATTATATTTTCACTGAGTTCGATTAATCCATTGATGATAGAATAGTACAAATGAAACTTACCGATATTTTACTTATAATTAGTAAAAAAAAAACTTTTTTATTATTAAATATTTTATTTATAATTAGTAAAAAAATGTATATTATTAAATATTTATTGGCAAATTATATGTTTAATTAGATGACCCTCACAATATGTGTTGTTATATTGTCTGTTATTAAAAGTAATGAGATAATTTATTAGAAATACAAGACAATTGTCATGAATTTATTGGGAGAATTTTATAAAATGGGAAATATATAGGACATCTTTATGAGAGTAATGATGCAATTAACCATTTTTATGATTGAAATGTTTTAGTTCAATTTAAACTTCAAAATGTTATTTATACGATTTTTGGTAATTTGGTTAGTTTTTTAAATTGTGAAAAAAATTTACTAAGTAGGATTTTATGTTGTCTATTGTTAGGATATTTTGACACTTTTTAAATTAAGCTCAATTATGATTTATTTACTATAATGCATTGAAAATGAATGTGATTATGTCACTTGTAGCACTATGATAATAATGTGAATAAAAGATAAATAAAGACTGGTTGACACATTGCTTGTAGATTGATTGAACTGTGTAGGATGGTGGGTCGACGGGCTTTCATTTAAATATTATGATTTGGTATTATCCTCTATCTACTAATTCACGTGATACTGATTGAGAGTTATAATAAGCTATTATTGTGCTGACGAACAAAGAGTGATGACTATATATATACTAAGCCAACGGTTATCGATTACTGATTACTGAAAAACATTATGATAGTCAGAACTTCTTACTTATTTATTGTGACATACT